ACGTTTTGTTGGATATTGAGATATTTAATTTTGGTGTTTTGGGGCTTTCTTGGACTTTTTTGAGCTTCACTTTGATGTCAGTTATTACAGGGTTATGGTCTGAACCGATATCTGCACCAGGATATGTCGTTACTCTGGTGACGCCATTCTTAAATCTCTTGTTTACCAGAATATAGTCTATCTGATTTCTAATCATATGTAGTGAATTATCTCCTGGTCCCCTCCATGTGTATAACCTTCTTTTGTGTAATTTGAACCATGTATTTGCGATTATCATGTCATGTTCTTGACAGAACTGGTATAATCTATCGCCTCTTTCATTGCTCTCCCCTAGTCCATATTCACCTACCAGGTCAGATCTTCGGCCTTGGCCAATTTTTGCGTTAAAATCTCCAATAATATATGTGACTTCGTTACTTTTTAGATTTTTAAGTGTCTGTTTTAATTGGCTATAGAATGATTCGACATCATTGTCATATTTCTTTTCTGCAGTAGGGGCATATATCTGGATAACATTGACATTAAATGGTTTGCTATTTAATTGGAGTATTGCTAGTCTGTCGTTCACTGGTATAAAATTTTTCACATATTTCTTAAATTTAGACGTTATAAATAAGCCAACTCCATTCCTATGATGTGTGTCATCTTCTGCACTTCCAGAATAGTATAGTGTGCCTTCATCTTGTTCACATATTCCCGTTCCAGGCCACCGGAGCTCACTGATGCCGATTATATCAATTTTTAAACGTTTAACCTCTTGAACTAAGTTACTGAGCTTGCCTGCTGCATAGAGGCTTTTAACGTTCCAGGTACCTAATCTGATTGTAGTGCTAGACATTTTTAAAGTTGTCGTACTTCTAAAATTGTAGGAATTTCGTGTGATGACGACCGGGGAGGCCCCACAGTCTGGTGCGCGCCCTTCCCTGCCGGATATTGGTTTTCGTGATCCATGATCAGTAATACTTCCGTTACGATTGTATTGAGCCATGCTAACTTTATTCGGGAGAAAAAAAAAGCAATAAACACAGCTGGGTATAAGAATATTCATCATAATCATCATTATTTAGCCTTTATTTCTCGCGTCCGTTGCTGGACATAGGCCTCCCTCAAGTTCCTCCATTCTATACGATTTTGTGCTCTTTGTTGCCAATTTTTGGTGATATGCTTGATGTCCTCAGCCCAACGGTGTAGGAGGTTTTCCCCTTTACGTTTGTCTTCTTTTGGCCTCTAATTTGAAATTTTGCTCGTCTGGTGTTTTTGTCTTTGTTTCTTATTCGGTCAAGCAACGTTACTCCCAGCATAGACCATTCCATTCGTCTCTGTGCCACTCCTAATTTGGAAGCCGTAGTCTTGGTTAGAGTCACAGTTTCAGCTTCATAGGTCATGACCGCTAATAAGCATTGGTCAAATACTTTTCTTTTGAGGCTAATTGGTTTGGTATGTTGGCCCTAAGTGTGTTTACCTCGCAGGTTTTGAAAGGCTGCCCACGTTAAAGTAATTCGTCTTTGGATGTCGCATGTTTGGCAATCCAGAGATTGTCCAGTCTATTATTTAAGAATGTTACTATAAGAACGGATTATTTTTATGACTTTAATATAATTTTTAAGATGCCATTGAGATATGAGATAAGATGTCGTGATATAGTCGTTCCAAATAATGCCACAAACGACCAAAACTACAATAGAACCTACCATCATACAACAGGACAGTATAAACCTCAACTTATGCAATTTGCATAACCAGAGATGTCCACTCAATAACAAAAGATACAAGGTAATGTACCAAACTTTTCCTTTATACCTACATTATACAACCAACAATTAACCCAACAATCGTAAAACTACAATCAATATACACACGAAACAGATACAGTCCTGATAAAAGAACTGTGAAGCAAACGAAAATTAATTATTATTGGTTGAATTCGGCAACCACTACTTCTAACAGATTTTAAAATCTTCTTCTTCTTACGGTGCCTTATCCTTAAGGACGTTGGCCATTACATTTCGACTGGTCCAACGAAGACTGTAGTAACTCAAATTTTCCACTTTTTGAGTTACGAGCGCAAAACAATAAAACATAATGATATCTTCCCCAGGAAAGAATCGTATCTCAGTAAACGTAGTTATGCAACCAATATTACGTGTAAGAGTTTTATAGTATCTCCGATTTATGAAAAACAACCGTAGAAAATCATCGTATCTTGAGTTACAATAGTCTTCGTTGTTATCTGAGGCGATAGCATAGGTATCGTAACATGAGTTACTACGGTATTCTGCGTTAGTTTAAGGTTATGTTCAAAAGTTTAGTTTTGTTATAATTGCCATAATGTGTTCCAGAAGTGAGTTAATATTGGAATTAGCTGAGAAAGCGTATAAAAACACTGAAACGGATATTTCTTATCGTTCTTTTGAAGGTAAATTTATAATAAACTTTATTTAAAATAATAACAGCAAAGTAAAAACCTACTTATTTTTTAAGGTAAACATATTGCTGAAAGTATTGTAGAAGAAAGCAAATACAAAAAGGCGAATGAGGATCCTGGTGACCACGAGACTGATATTAATCCTGAATGTTCTACAGGTTGGTTTAAATTCCGCATGAAAAAATATTACGTAGGCATTTACCTCATTTTTGTTTAATTTTAGTAAGCTTAGAAGAGAATGAAGCCAATAGGAATGAAAATGAAATAATTGAGAAGGAAAGCGATGAGGAACCATTTCATGCAGACTCTGATACTGACCCAGATTACATTCCGACAGAAGACAAAAACATCCCTGAAGTAATAATTGAACCTAATAAGAATATAACTGAAGCAACCACAAATAGAAAGAGAAGAAGCAGAGGCAATATAGAGAGAGTAAGTAGGAAAAGAATTAGAGACGTTAGTAAGTGGGCGGATGAAAAATCTAAAACAAGTCTAAACCTGGGACTTGAACATGAAAATCGAAAAGGTATTCAAATTAAAGGAAGACAGATGGGTGCACCATGCGCAAACACATGTAGACTAAAATGTGCTACCAAAATAGCTAAAGAAGATAGAGACCTTTTTTTCAATGAATTTTGGAAGTTAAAAGATCATACGAGAAAGTGGGATTTTATTGCTCGTCATGTGAGACAGGTTGCCAAAAAACAAGTAACTATTACTGCAGAACAACGGTCTCGAAGAAATTACTCTCGAGAATATTACTTCTACATTCGCAATGAAAAACAACGTGTTTGCAAAACTATGTTTTTGGAAACCCTTAACGTTTCAGAAACTTGGATCACTACAGCATTAAGGAAACTGAAAGATGGTGGATCATTAGAGGAAGATAAACGTGGAAAGCACACTAACAGACCACATAAACTATCACCAGAACTTATAGACAACGTAAAAAATCACATAAATCAGTTTCCTGTAGTACCTTCCCATTATACCCGTAAGAATACGATGAAGATGTACCTTGAAGAAGGGCTAACTATCCAGAAAATGTACCGATTGTACAACGAGCATTGCGAAAAAAATAACATCACTACAGCTGCCACGTCACGCCAGTATAGAGATATTTTCAATGAACAGTTCAATATTGGGTTCTTTAAACCAAAAAAGGACCAGTGTACTGTTTGTTCTGTTTTTAATATGGCTAGTGATGCTGAAAAAGCAAAATTGCTCGAACAATATGAGTCCCATATGAAAAACAAAGAAGTTATCAGAAACTTAAAAGACATAGACAAACAGCTTGCACTAGATGATAAGAGCTTGTGTGTGGCTTGCTTTGACCTTCAAAAGGTTTTAGCTACCCCTTTGTCTAACGTAAGTGATTTTTACTACAAAAGCAAATACTCTACATATAACTTTACAGTTTATGATGTTGGAAATAATCAGGGTTACTGCTATGTATGGCACGAGCAGGTGGCTAAAAGAGGTCCTAATGAAATTGCCAGTTGCCTCTGGAAATTTTTAGATCTCAAGGCACAACAAAGTGTTAAAACGATAATATTCTACTCAGACAACTGTGGGGGACAAAATAGGAATCGTTTTGTGTTTTCGATGTTTGCTTTTGCTGCTGCTCATTTTCATATTGATATTGTTCACAGATTTCTGGAAAAAGGCCACACTCAGAACGAGGGTGACAGTATGCATGCTGTTATCGAAAATGCAAAGAAAAGGCAATCGGTTGTATATGTGCCAGAACAGTGGGTTACATTAATTAGAATGGCTAAAACTACAGGAAGAGTTTATGATGTTACGGAAATGTCCCAAGATAATTTTTTTAATTTTAAAAAACTGACTGATACCGAGAATTGGAAACTTGACAACGAAAAGAAATCAATAAAAGTTAGCAAAATACGAGAAATAAAATTTTCGCATGAACACCAAAATTCTATAATGTTTAAATACGAATTCGATGATGGTTTTAGAGGTTGTGACATAAAATTAAATCGAAAATGCAGAGGACGGCCTTCCACTACTATCAAATTTCCACCGAAACTGTATGATGCACCATTACCAATTGAAGAAAAAAAGCTAAAAGGATTACTGTGGCTGTGTAATACCGGCAAAATACCCACAATGTACCATGGATTTTATAAAAATCTTAATTCAAAGAGTTATGTACCTCCTAAAGTCGAGCTCGAAGTTGATTCAGTTGAGAGCGAAGAAGAGTCGGATGAGGAAAATTGAATTAAAATATAAAACTGCAAATTATATCAGTAGCTTCTTCAAAATGTAGCATTTTATATAAATAAAGTTAAGAAACAAATAATTCTGGTATTTATTACTTTAAAAATATCTCCATCGAAAACTATAGTAACTCATTCAAAAGTCACTTATGACCATTTCTGTCTTAAATCTGTTTTACCCTTGTAAGATCATTATTAAAAGTATCACTTAATGCTATAAAAACATCCATTTAATAGATTAATGAATTTTGGTAACAGTGTAAATACATTTTTATAATTATCTCAATTACATAAAAAATGAGTTACTACAGTCTTCGTTGGACCAGTCGATTTGCCCATTTAATCTTATTTGTAGCAGCCCTAAATAGTTCTATGGAGGTCATGTTCATCCATTGCCGTAGGTTTATAAGCCAAGAGTTGCGTCTTCTTCCTGGTCCTCTTTTGCTATTGACTTTGCCTTCGATTATAAGTTGGAGCAATTCATACTTTTGATTTCTTATGATGTGACCAAAATATTGTGTTTTCCGCTTCTTTTATTATAAGCATAAGCTCTCTTTCCTTATTCATCCTCCGCAAGACTTCCGCATTTGTCGTATGGCTCATGTAGGATATTCTGAGCATTTTACGGTAACACCAGAGTTAGGTAACCAGTTGGAATGCTTGGATTATTTTTTGTGTTACTTCTGTAATTGTCCAGGCTTCAACAACATAGAGCAAGGTGGAGAAAACATAGCACTTAAGTATTCTAGTTCTCAATGAGATGCCCAGCTGTCGGTTGCATAGAACTTTTTGCATTTTGTAAAACATTGTACGTGCCTTTTCCAGGTGTATTCTTATTTCTAGTGAGTGGTCCCAAGTTTCATCAAGATAACTTCCAAGGTACGTTGTTCTTGCTACTCTTTCCAGATCTGTTCCATCGACATTGACCTTCACCCTTCTGTTTTGGCGCTTGCTGATGACCATCGTTTTTGTCTTCTTTTTATTCAATTTCATTCCAAATTCTCTACAGGCTGTCGTTACTAGGCCCAGTAAGCGTTGCAGGGCTTCAGCATTATCTGCCAGTAAGATAATGCTTCAAAGTCTAGATAATGATTTAGATAGCGAAAATGACAGCAATTCACAAGCAATTCAGCAATTATCTCCAAAATTTATTAGTGGAGTTATGAATATCACTGCTTTAATAGAATTGCTTGACGAAATTACCAAATATAATTACGAAACAAAGGTTGTTAGCTTAGACCAAGTCAAAGTCCAACCAGAAGCATTGGAAAATTATGGAATAACAACTAAAGCCTTAACAGACAAGAAAACACAATTTCATACATATAAGCTGAAAAAAAAACGAAATTTTAAGAGACATACACAATGCACTAGGTACCAAAGATACATGACCGTATAAAGAAATATTGAAATCAGATGCCACACTGCGTCAAATTCATCGGGCATCACGCAAGAGAAAAATGCCAAAGAAAAGAAAGGTCAAATAATCTAAAATGTATACTATGCGCAAGTAATCATTCAGCCAACTATAAGTGCTGTTCAATATACAAAGAATTACTGCAGAAAAAATATTTATCACTTCGTCTAAAGCAAGTTAATTGTACCAATATTAAATCTAAACAATATATACAGCCTAGCATAACGTATGCTAAGGTAATATCTAATAAACAAATGAAACTCACTAGCACAAATGCGCAGCAACACCAAAACCAGACAAGATACGAAACCAAAGGCGATATGTTCGAATTGAATCAAATGATAAAAGGACCCATTGAACAAATGAGTATGAGTATCTTTTGACTACAGTAATCGCTACACTGTCCAAATGACCAAGTTTCTCAAAGTGGCACTCTGGCATGCCAAAGAGCTAACCCAATATGTGTAAGAAGTCAAAGCCTTCATATACAACAATATCCACGGAAAAACCTACCTACTTGGCCACCGACAAAAATAAAATATCAGATGTGGTAGATTTTGGTGTCACCATGGGTTTATCAAACAACAGTCCTTTAAGGACTTTTTCTTGTTATGATATGTCTTCTGAGCATTCTCCTGTTTTATTAAAAGTAAGTTCAGAAATCCCTTACAGAACATTATCTGCTACATTGACTAATAAATTTACAAACTGGAAACAATTCAGATAATTACTAACCAATAAAGTAGAATTAAATATCTCACTAAAAACAATTTTTTCTAATTTACAATTTTAAGAAGTAACGATCTTATTTTTATTGGTTAATTTCTTCTGATTCGTTTTTAACACTATGGGTAATAAAAATGCCAACCAAATTTTGATTTACTTATTATGTATATGAAAATAAATTGAAATGGAGTATTTACATAGAAATTTCATGTTAAATCTGATACGGATAAGTCGGTGTAGGGTGTGGAAAAAAATCATTAAATTCAACTGTCACAATGTAAATGTAAATGGTTCGGAATAAGAGTGTGGCACGCACTCAGGGTGCATGACATTTTTAGACTTGAAGTATGTCGATTTTAAATTCAAATTCGAGATTGATAAAAGTAGGGACAGCGAAAAGTGCTAGTTGTTGTTATAATATATTTCGTTCATATTATTGGATATTTTTCCTATTTAAAACTGAATACGAAATTTTAAATGTCGTAACTTTTAATTATATTTGGATTAAAATCCACAAGGATTAATAAATTCCTGCAGCTGGCTGTATATTATGTATCACAAAAAGAGGTTAATCTTTATAAGTGGGTATATTTAAAAAACCCTTAAAAGGCTACATCAAATTTAACAAACGTTTTCGGAATAATAATTCCATCATCAGGTTAAAAGCAGGTTAACATGTCTGAGCCAGCAGAATATTAGGATAAAAACCCTTTAAAGTAAATAAGGTTACCAAAGATTGTACATATTGTTGACCTCTTCAAACGGACTTCAGCTGGTAACTTAGTTAACCTCAGTTAAGCTCTTCTCATAGCCACACTTCCCAATTTGCTCCACCTTCTTTGCCTGACCTTCCTCTATAAACGTCCACACCTTTAATCTTATTCAATATTTGTGTTTCTTTAAACCACCACTCTCTTTACACCATTGTCACACCCTCCCTCCCAATTTTTTTCTGACCCTATTGTTAACTTCATAACCATCCGCGTCCATCATACCTTACTATTTCATCATTTTCTCTACTTTTCACATCTACGTCCATATCCCTGTCCACTCCACTTTCTTTTATTATTTCTCTATCATTTTATATATCAACCATCTACTCATTAGTTTTAAACTCAGCAATAATTTAAACATAATCCAACAATTTATCAGAATTCACTATTTCCCCCTTTCTCAAAATTCTTACTCAACCATTGATTCCCTCTCTTAGTTAACAACCTACTACAGCACACTCATCCATTAAATTTCAGGTTTTTTTTATAAGCCGAATTTAATACATCCAAAATAGATTTTGTTCAGGGTGCTAGATGCTTTTAGCATGAAGGATCTCTATTATCTCTAATTTGTTGATTAACTCATTTATTTTCCTTAACCCCCCCTCAGACAAATTGTGAGTGCGCCACTGGTGAGAATGTTAAAATACCACAATTCCCGCCTTCATTTGAAAAGTGAAAATTCAGTAGATTCCTGAGAAACATCGCAGACAACAAGGAAATATTAATATATACATAGACGTCATCTTTCTAAGGACACTGCCACGAAAAGAAAAGTGTAACTCCCCTTATAATAAAGGTACAACATAAACTCCTAACCATATCTCCGATAAAAGACTCTGGCGCAAAATATCCCGATAACATCGACGAAAGAGAGACATTAGCCGATAGATTAGAGCGTATCGAAATGGGCGCGACTTGTGATTACTGGCACGAGCCCTTATAATTTATCATAGCCGTAAAATCATTATTACTGACAACGTAAACGGTAAAATGCGGTCTGCTTGCTGGTTTAGAGGCGGTGAAAATTGCTCAGACATTCGATACACTATTCGAACAAAAGAACAGTGTGTGTATTGACACAGGAAGCTATTGAAAAATTACTGTGGTTAGGCAACATGCAAAACAGTGATTTGGTTACGTACCTGAAAGGGTTTGTAAATTAGGATTTAATTTTTATTTCCTTTTTTCATATCGCTAATAGGAGGCTTTTTAAACAAAACAATGAAGTACTCTTTTTAAACTTAAAAGTCTACAAAATAACTAGTTGTATCTGCTATGTTTCACTTACTTATCTAATTTCTGAATTTTTAATATTTTATATAAATATTTCGAGTTTCATTATATAAATAGACTGTACAAAAAGGGTGTACATACAGATTGAATGAATTTAAAACGGATCATACAATTTAATGTTTGAACTGCATTTGAAATAGTGGACCAATATAAAACTTGGACAAAAATAAATCCATACCTGGGTACAGACATTGTATAAAATATCGTTCAACTATCTGTCTCGCAATGTTGTTTGCGTAAAGGAAGCGATAATAGTTCAGGAAATGAAGCTCGAAAAAAGTTAAAACTTCGCAATTTTTTCGTCCTGCATGGATTGAGTTGAAATTTTAACAGAAGGTAGGTGATAGCCCAAGGATCAAAATCTATATCGAACCGAAGTGCGCTGAACGGTTTTAGAGGTAAAAACTACCCCTAATTGTCAAAAATTATAAAATAACATATTTAACCTGAATATGGGTAAGATTTGGTTTGAATTAGTTAAATAATGATTATTTTATACTTTTGAATAGAGTTGCATCATATTTTAACCCTTAAAAAGCAACCCCCGTTAGAGATTAATGTAAAAAAATTACTAATTCTAAAAAAATGATTTCGCCTTGGATCGATTTGGATAAAAATTTGGATTTAAGCTCAATTCACCCACTGCTTTATAGTTTATGTCATGTCGACGAATCCTAATTGTTCTTAGGGGTGAAAACTAACCTAATTTTCAAAAATCCTAAAATAGCATATTAAACCTGAATATGGGTAAAATTTGGTTTGAATTAATTAAATAATGATAGTTTCGTGCTTTTGAATAAAGTTCCATCATATTTCAACCCTTAAAAAGCGACCCTTATTAGAGATTAATGAAAAAAAAGTAGTAATGCGAAGAAAATGATTTCGCCTTGGAACGATTTGCATAAAAATTTGGAATTAAGTTCAACTCACTCTCTGCTTTATAGTTTATGTCATGCCGAGAAACCCTGATTGTTCTTCAGGGGTGAAAACTACCCTAATTTTCAAAAATTGTAAAATAACATTACAACTCTTAAGATGAGTGAAATTTGGTTTGGATTAGTAAAATAGTGATTTTTTATACTTTAAAATACAATTTCATACATTTTTAACCCTTAAAAATCAATTGTTATGAGTGCTATAGGTGAAAACAATTGTTTGCCAAAGTTTTTTGCAACTTTTCAACTTTTGAAAATCACTCTTTACAACATTGCAGTTTTTATAAACTAATTTAATAGATATAAATTGAAAAAAGTAGAATTAAATACAAAAAAAAATTATCAACATAAAAAGCCACCATATATTCTTATACATTTACATAATTAGTTAAACATATTTACATTTATAGGTAAAACAATTATAATATTAATTTTATTCGTCATCAATTACATCTTCATCGTGATCTATGTCATCCTCATCTTTTTTAATTATTGGTGGACTATTATTGCACCCTTCACCTAAGCACCCAGAACAAGTAGAGTTACAGTATACACCAACTTTTCTGCACCCACATGAAACGCCGCATCCTTTTTTGCATTGGCAAAAATAATTTTCAAAAGATCATCTAGTGCAGGTTGTTTGTTCATGGCGTACGGGTAATAACTAACCATCTTTGGAATACCATCCCCAATCTGTTGCTCTGATATTTTCATTGCCAAGCCATATACATATGAGCAGATGTTTTACTCTGTTGTATGGGATTTCAAAATAAGAACGCTTAAAATTTCGAATGTATAACGCCCCACTACCTAATATACCGGTTTTGTACGATATTATATAATCTATTTAACGATAGAGTGTTTCTTCAAAACGATTTTGT